GATTGCAGTAGCAGAACACACTAAACCCAACAAACCACATTGTGGCTGTGTGTGCTATATATGCCCAGGCAGAAAGCACAAAACCTTTGTTTACTGCTTGTGGTCAGCATCCAGTATTCCTTTGGACATGAATTTTTCATTGGTGGTCCCTGTGTCCACAATTTAATGCCCTCCAGATATGTTGAACCAACTATCAGGCTCTCTAAGAAGACCAACATGATAGGAAATTGTCTCTAAACTATGGAAATGGCAGAATATATTTATACACTACCGAGAGAAGGGAGCTCTCCATTTGTTCTTCCTCATTTTGTTAAAAAAAATGTATGGCTACTGCTACTTACCACTTGTTTTTTATTCATCGTTATGGAATGGATCTATATTCATTGGTGATTCATGAGAACTGGGAGGGGCTGTAATTCCTGCTAAAAATTGCTTATCCTGCAAAGGTCTTTGTGTACTAAGCCAACTATTCTTCAGTTTGAAATCTCAGTCCTGAAAGTTGGCTAATTAAAGTACATGAGCTTTACTGATTTATCACCATCAATATGCTCAGATTCTTTTTCCTAATAATATAAGCAGAGAGAGTTTTAAAATACAGGAAGTCCTCAACCTATGACCACAATTAAGCCAAATTTCTGTTGCTAAGCAAGATAGTAGTGAAATGAGTTTTGCCCCATTTTGCCACTTTTTTTACCACAGTTCTTAAGTTTATTACACTGTAGTTGTTAAGTTAGTAAAACAGCTGTTACGTGAATCTCGCTTCCCCACTGACTTTTCTTGTCAGAAAGTTACCAAAAGTGATCACATGACCCTAGGACACTGCAGCTGTCATAAATACATGCCAATTGCCAAGCATCCAAATTTTTATTGTGTGACCACATAGATGCTGCAACGATTGTTAAGTGTGAAAAACAGTCATAAGTCACTTTTTCAGTGCTGTATCGTTGAACGGTTACTAAATGAATGGTTGTAACTCGAGGTTCCCCTCACATATATGTGTTAGTCATTTCCAACTCTAGGGGGCTTTGCTCACCTCCATTTCAAAGCCGAAGAGCTAGCGCTGTCCAAAAACATCTCTGTGGTCATGTGGCCGGCATGACTAAACGCCAAAGGCACACGGAACGCTATTACCTTCCCACCAAAGGTGGTTCCTATTTTTCTACTTGCATTTTTACATCCTTTCGAACTGCTAGGTTGGCAAAAGCTGAGACAAGTAATGGGAGCTCATTCCATTACGGGTTTTGAGATTTGGGATGAGTCACAAAGATGTAGTCAGGAGGGAGTGCTATGAACACTAACAAATAAGGGAAGAAAAAAAGCCAAATGCTGATAATATTAAATATTGTTAAATTTAAATGCTGCTTTCAAAGAACTAGAAGGATAATGTATAAAACTAGAAGGATAATGTATAAAAATATAAATGAGTCTTCTTTCTTCATCTTCTGCTCACTGGTTCAATCAGGAGCTATACCATCCCTCTTCCCTGTCTGCCTGCTTGGGACTATTTGGCTAAACAATTTCTAAAGTGATTTTTTCTGATCAGCTGATACTCTGTTTTCTGCTTCTTTAAGCTTCAAGGTTTGAACTGTTTTTGCCTGACTGTTTCTCCTGCTGACTGGAAACCAAGCTACTTGCTTGAAACTAAAAATCAATAGCCTTTGTGTTCCTTTGACTGCTGCTCTGAACTCTCCATGTATCAGTTGCTACAGCAGGCTTTCAAACAGAGCAGAAGCCTTCATCAAGCTAATAAAAGCAAGTTCGGCCTGAAATGGCAGACACAGCACAGGAATTTTCTCCTAAGTTTACAGCACCCTGTTTAGTTAATACATTAAATCCCTCCGGGTTCTATATTCACACTGTGGAATCCATTATTAGTTGAAAGGTGACACGATCCAATGGCACACAACATGCTTTTCTTGGAAAATATCCCTGCATTAATTCCTGTCATTTCTAGTAGACTCTGGAGAATCACCATCTGAACATCACTGGATTCACTAACTTTAGGTTTTGCCATCATGGGTTCAATTGTCTTAAATTATATTTGGCTGGGCTTACACAACACAACACCCACAAAAACCACAGGATAACTCTAGGGGTGATGTAAAGTAGGTTAGTCCTGAGCTACGTAGACATTCCATTGGCCTAACAGTGTAAAAGACAATGTCTTCTGTTTCTATAAAAAGCAGGGAAAACAATTCATTTTGAGGGCACGTATATCTTTTAACAGACTCGTACCTTTTTTTTCTTTTTAAAGTTTAGTGTTGTCACTATTTATGATTAAGCAATTTGTGTTTAAAATTCCAGATTTTACAGGACAAAGACAAAATATTAGCCTTAGTTTTATTTATAAAGAAATAATCCATCAAATTTATTGTTCAGCCATATTATGAATTTTTTAATTTCACAAGTTGAGACATGGATTCATCCAGGCCTTTGGAGATAAACCAGTAGGGTGTCATAATTCTTTATTCCTGTCATGAAAACCATTTGCAGAAGTGAGAAAATTGGGTGGATCATACTTTTATCTTAAGAAAATTAACAAATCTGAAGGGTCCTTGTTTCTTACAATCCCTTGTTCAGGAGTAAAAGCATATTTTTAATCCTTCCTCCCAGCTGGCTTAGTTTTTAGATTACACACAGGGAAATGCTGTGAAGACCAGTAGCTTGAATGCAGAAAACTGCTTTTATAACCACTTGTTTACTTATCTATTTCTATATTCAATTATTGATCAATTATTTAATCATTCCCTCTTTGTTTCCTGACAACAATCCTGCAAGTTATGTCAAAGTCCCCTAGGGAGCTTCTGTAGCTGATAGAGAATTTGGAACCAGATCTCCTTGATGCTAATCCAGCATCTTAATCTTTATACGAAAGTGGCTCTCAGGAAAAAATGCTCAGTCTGAAATTGCAGGTCATATTTTATCCAAACATATAAATAACTGGTGACTGAGAATAGTTTTGGTTGAGAATAGAATCCCCTACTCCCAAGGCAATTTTACAGGTTATGCACCTTCACTGTCTTATAGATGAAAAAATTATCTGTGTTTTTCAACTGAATATCTTTAATTATTTATTTAAACCATTTCTGCCTCATTTCCTCAAGGCAATTAAAAACAAATGTAGGAAAAGCAGAAATGGAAAAGAAAAAATGCAAAATTGAATTAACAATATGCCTATCTCTAAATACACGAATTACTGAAAGTCCTTCAATAGCGCCATGGAAGAACAATTACATTCAAAATATCTCCTATCCTTTTCTAGAGGCAGGCTTTAGGCTATGTGCATGCAGAGATGGGGCCAGGCGGGCTTCTTCAGGGAATCCATAATTGAAATGCAGTGACAGAGAAGACATTCATGCTCTCCACCGAAGCTGACAGGACCAGGACTCCAGATAGTCACTGTCACTCAGGGGTGTGACATACTGAACTATTTCTCATAAGGCCACAGTATTGCCTCATCAATTGCATTCCATTTACTGATATTAATGGCCATAAAATATATTTCTTTGATTTCAAACACAATGATTTGCTTGCCATTCTACAGATTATCGAGGAGAATGTAGGAGTCCAAGGAAGGATATTCTTTTTCTGTTTCTTCAAATTATTAAAGTGTTCAGGATGTAATCAGTTTAATTGTAATCCAGCAAGGTGGTGTGGTGGTAATTCTCCTTTTATTTTTTACATTATTCTTGCACACGGTCAAAATAGTAGAATGTGTAAAATCTTTTTGAGTTCATGAATGATTTTTCCTGGATTTATTCAATGTATGTAACTGAAATATTAATCCTGTATTGGCCAAAATATGCATGTAGTTAAACATTCCTCTCTTCCTTCTCCTGGCCCCATTTAACCATATTATGGTAGGCAAATAGCACTAGAATCAGGACAGACAGGAGAGGCTTTTGACATAATGTTTTTTGCTAATATTTTGCCAATATGTTTTCAAATTTCTCCTTCCAAAAGCATATTAATATAGTCAATAGTCCATGCTTAGAATCCAATTTGATCATGTGACTCCCTCTATTAAATATGTGAATGAAGAATGAGTGAAAAGTTTATTACATACAGTCAAAGGACCCAAGAATAAAATAACATAAAAAGAAAACAGCATACATTTTGACATTTCACGGGAAACAAATTATTCAGAAAATGGTTTTTTCCCGTGTGGATAAATTAATCTCTCTTGACCCAACTTGTTGCATCTCAACCTATAAATGTGTAAAGGATTTAAAAAAGAATGTTTAGAAATGTTGGTATCAGAATCAACTGAGACCTTGATGTAAGGTAGGAAATATAGTGCAGTTCATATATTAGCTCCTTAACATCAAAAAGCCTATCTTAAATGGCTGCAAATTCACATTTTGTACTTGCCATCCAACTGGCAGAGGAATACATAAGGAGCCCTAGAAAGCATACAAATGAAATTCAAGAATTTCCCCATTCTCACCTTACCTTCTAAGCTTAATCATGTCATGGCAGATGAGCCATAAACTGTACATCCCATGGAGAGTTAAAAAAAATAGGGGAAAAAGACAAAGGGAATACACTAGAAAACTCTCTTTCAAGGTTTGCCTATTACTCTCTGTAACAAGCAGTACATTGCTGTGTTTGTGTGTGTGGGGAGAAATGTTGGGATGACTGACAGCCTTGAACTATAGGCTCATCCCTCACCTTAGGCCGTGCAATCTGATTGGATGCTTCCTGACATCTCCAAAGCACAGCACATTTTAATAGACGCTTTGGTAGTTTGTCAGGGGTGGGTGGGGGAAAAGGTTCAGCGAGGTGCATTTCTGACCAGCACAAAGTCATTTTCCACTTCAGGAATATTTCTTGGCTTTGGGTGTGTGTGTAAATGTGAGGGGGGAGGGTGGGGGGGTAGAAATACCTGTGGGTTTTTTTTCAGGGTGGGATTGTTTTGTTTTGATTTTTTGGGGGTCCTTAAATGTTTTTCTGCAAACTTCGTGGAGAGTGCTCTTCTCCTCAGCACCAAGCCTGGACTAATGGATTACCACCTGCTTGGATTAACTTTAGCTTTTTTCTTCGGTGATACAAAGGTCCTAGCCGGTTACCCTATTTGGTGGTAAGATTTCTTTTCTCCTCATCTCAAACTTTTTGGCAGCCTACCTCTTTCTCCCTACTTCAGTATATTTGCATTCTCTCTGCATCCTGATTCATGTTTCTCTCATCATTTTGCTTTTTCAGAATTTGTGCAAAGTTCCTATGTGCTCGCCTCGCTTTTTTCATTTTGGAAGGGTGATACTTAAAAGATTTTTTCCTTTTGCTTGAAAAGCATTGTGTCTGTCTCAGTCATTTGTGGCATCAGAATAATATATTGGAATATAATTTATAAGCAGCAGGCATTGTAAGACAATCAACTAAAATAATATAAATATTAAACTACTATCAAGATTCACTATTAGGTATTTGCCAGCAGATCACAAATGTTTATTAACAGTGCTATGTAAAATGACTCTTCAAATGTGTTCTTTCACTTTAAATATATTTACTTAATGATGCCAACATCTGCAGAAAAAAAAAATCAAGAAAACAACCAAGATCTAAGTTTTAATTTCAATATTTTTTTGGAATGACAACAATTTGACATTTTAATTTCCTGCTTGCTTCATAAAAATCTTGACTCCATTTAAGCAAACCAAGAAGATAAAAGCTAAAAATTATTTTGCCAAAGATTCATTTCCCTGTACTAGGACATGGGATGATCTGAGATTTTTTTCAGCAAAACCAAAATTTAGGTTATTAAAAATACTTAGCATTTAATAATCTAATGTTGGCTTTTCCTGTTGCTTAATTAAAATATATCCTTATACGAAAATGTTTTAAATACTTGAATTAGAAATATCAACAGCTTTAAGTTAACTTAATATGGCCTTCCATTACCACTTTCAAAGTTTTCTTTTTATGTAAATTATTCCCTTAATTCCTTTTTAAATATAATCAAAAGTGTGGTATAAATATAAATCAAAAAATGTTTAATTTTGAAAAATAGGTTGTGTTGTAAAATTTTGGTTTAGATGCCTACTATAAATAATAAAGAATAAACATTCAGTATATTTAACAATGTTTTTAACCTTATTTTGTCTGATTATATGAAGATAATTGAGAAAAATTAAATCACAGCAACATCAAAAAATGCTTGTATTTTCCATGCCAAATGGATATGACTCATATATATTAAAGTTCAAAAAGATTCTCCTGTCAGAATTTAGATTAATCAGATCTCTTTTAGCCTCAGGTTTGATGAAACAAACTTCCTATAAAAGAAGCTGTAAACTATTAAGAATCAAAGGTTTTGTTTCAAGTAGAACTGTCAAGGAGAACTGATTCAGAGAATTTAGTTCAGTAAACAGAATCTGGCTGTGCTGCTTATTTAAAGTTAAAAATTTCAGGGTATAAAGAAAAACCTTGGTGTTTTAGTAAAATTTTGCCCTTCCAATCATACTTATTAACGTAGAGAGAAGCACTATAAAAAATCTATTTTCTTCCAGTCTGCTTAATTTTTCTCTTCCCCTAAAACCTATTCTTCTGGTAGATATCTTTTGTCTCAAAGAAAAAGGATTAAGCCTCTGGATTTTAAAATACAGACATACATAATTCAACAACAATATGCACCTACGCATATTTTAGGATAATGAAAATTATCTATAGAGAATTTATAAAGCGTCACAGTGACTGAGCTGTGCTTGTATAGTTGTGTTTTCTAGTACAGTATAGAGCAAATGTTGTAATAATTATATTGAAAAACAAGGCTCAGAAATGAACAAATCAATTATCAATAATTGATAATGAGCTGTAAGTTAGTATATACATTTCATAGCAATCCTCACACCTTATTTCATTGCATGTTTTCTAACTTCGTCATTCAGTTCCTTTCAAATTCAAGTGATTATTTTCACTTGATGTGAAAGTGTATGTACCTATATTTTGCATTATTTATCAGGATTTAAGTGAATTGGGAAAGATCTGAATTTATTTAAGTTTCTTGCAAATGTTCAATCCCTCTTCAGGATATAATTCCAGCTGAAGAAGATAGTCAGTAAATAATTGTTTAACAAACAATAATAAAAATTAATAACCATGCACAATTTTGCAGAAAAAAAGCCAAAGTGCATACAATCAATGTATTAGTTTTATTAATGTATAGCAGGGGAGAGAAATTGTCAGTCATAAAATATGAGACAGCGGTCAACTTTCACATATATAAAACTGGGAACGTAATAATTTACTTCTGCATTAAAAAATAATCCAGCATTTTCCAAAAAGATTTAGAATTCTTCAAACTAAACAGTCTAACTAGATAATGTAATTTTGATCACCTAGTCTTATCTTGAGTCAGTTTGTTTGAGCTACAAAACTGAAATTCCAGGTACAAAAGACAATGAGAAAGCTAGTTAGGGACCTGATGTTAGGAATAAAAAATGAATATATCGAAAAGTGTGAAAAAAGCAGGTTGCATAGTTTCAAATTGCCTGGAATGGGGGTGGGATGAGGCAAAGAGGAACAGGAACAGGTAGTGTGGGTGTACACACATACATACATATACATATATATAAAAGTGCAAAGGCTGGCTGAAAGCTTTGCATAAGGAAGAAAGCGAGCAAGAAAGGTGATACTAGCTTTAGTTTCATTACAATATTTTCATACGTAGTTCTGTATAGTAATACTATAGCACTATTAAATCTAGCCAACTGAGCACAAGAGCACAAATGTATAAAACCAGCCCCTAAAAAATGAGATTCGCAGAGAATATGTACCAGTATTTTTCTCCAGCACTCCATAGCCCATCATCTCAGGTTGTGATGACAGCTGTGTACGCTGTACATGTCATATATTAGAAGAATATAACTGAATAAAAGTGACCTGCATCTTTGACCCAAGCACATATTAGGTATAACAGATTTTTCCTGGGCATATGGAAAAGACAATGGCCAGCATAGAAGTCAACTCTTAAATGTCCGTGGAGATTCTCAGTTATCCAGGTCATAGTTGTCCCAAACGTTCTTTTCAAAAGGCAACTGGATTTCCTTTGTTTTTTCTTTGAAGACATTCTGCTTCTCATCCAGTTGGAAGCTGAAAGAACTGAAGAATCTTCTTGGAAGAGAAGCAAAATGTCTTCAAGGAGAACGCAAAGAAAGTCCAGTTGCCTTTTGAAAAACTTATTGGGTCAATTCTTAGATCCAAGACTAAAGGTGCTGCCATATACATGACTTAAATTGTGTCCCATAAATTAGGATACAAATGGAAAAGCTATGTTGGCTTAGATTTCTATATTTGACCCCACCTTAGTAATATTCGCTCTTGTGGAAAAGTACTTCTCCAATATGATCTTCAATTTTCCAGAACCACTTTTGGAAATCTAAAAAACAATGACCTCTGGCTAACCTTTAAAATACATCACTTGTATATGCTTTGTTTTTTAAAAAAAAAATTGAAAGAGAAAGAGAGGTTGCTGTAGTTGAATTCAGATGCTAATTTCTCCAAAACCTTCCTGATTTTCAACTGAATGATCTTTACATTGTTTGCTTTTTGTATAATCAAGTTCATACCATATAGAAATAAGATTTTAAAATTCAAGAAAATAGGGACAGAAGCTTGATCATTAGGACAGGTGGTGGCATTCTTACTTGATTAAAAAGGGACCAAGAAATGGGAAAAGTCAAAATCTAGAATTGCATCAAACACAATGACTTTTTTTTAAAGGAGAAAATCTACTGTGATTTGTTTTTCTTTGTAAATCATGCTTTGGAACTGTATGTGTGTGTATATATATATGTGTATATATATGTTTCTTTCACTGAATTTTATACAGTTTGAAAAGCTTCTGAGAATGCTGCAATATGTGTAAAAAAACCCACAAAAAAGAAGGTGCAATAATCTTTACAGCCTGGGCTGTAGAGGGCTGCTTTCTTTCTAGAGCTGTGATGGATCTGGAGTTGGATTTGCCTCTTCAAAGTGATGTAGTCCAGGACTAATATAACCAGGGGTTGAATGGAGGAAGAATAAGAATGCCCTGGACCACCTACACAATCCTACTGAACATTCCTCAGTTTATAATTCAACACTTGGTCTTCTTTAGAAAGCATCCTTGAAACCAAGGAGGTAAGGTCATCCAAAATACAAGAATGCCATAGGAATTGTGGAGGGCTTTGGGAATTATTTTTAACTTCATTGGCACTCTTGATGGAGGGGAAATGGACTGCAGTAAGAAGACCTTACCAGCTTCTTGGTGACAGAAGAAAATACACAGTTTGGATTTACTTATTGTGCTAAGTCATTACAAGAAGCTATAATGTAGTTTGATTTGGCTCTACAAAGTTATAGGAATGGTACCTTACAAATTCTTTATTAATCACTATTTCTGAACTCTAGTATACTTAGATCTTTTCACTGGAACTCTACTAAAATCAGACTTTCCCTGCCTGTCAAATATGACACAATGCCATCTTGGTGGTTGGGAAGACAACAATACTTTAGCAGCTGAATTTCATCTTTAACATTTTGCCTGCTGGCTTCAGATATTAATTGACAACTGATGTTGCCAAAAGCCTATTGGCAAGTTGGATGCCAGCCAATGGATAAACAACAATTGAGTTCAACCAGTGAGATGAGCCATAATTATGTCTATGCATATCCAAAATCAGTATCAATAACATTTAAAGTCCAGATGGTGCAAATGAATTTGGAAATTAGATCTACCAAGGAAGAAAGCGCAGAGATGATTAAATTGGACAAAGCTCATATTCCAGAGCTGAATCTTGGCAGTAGAACATTCACCTTAGCTAAAGATCACACATCCTGATCAACTCGCCAATCTACAGAAACCCAATATTAGAGTGTCCTTTCCCAAGCTGACCTTTTCTAGATATGCTGAATTACAATAGCCATCATTCTCAACCCACAAGGCATTATCCCTGCTGGATATTGATAATCAATGCTATAATTAGATACTTAGAAATAGGTTGATAAATACTGTGCACCTCCATGGCCTCACTTTAAAGAAAGGTTTGGATAAACAGAATAATCCACCTGACCTTTGTCCAATGATTCTGTGAAAAACGTAGA